AATGTAAAGCTCACTCTGTTTATATCTGTATAGGTGAAGGGAGACAGTGGAATAATATTTTATCCCTCAGGATGTTCTTCAAATGCTCCCTGGCTTTAACACACTGTAATTACTAATGGTTCCCATTCCACTTTAGGAATCGATATCTCAAAATGTGCATGCCGAAGTGGAATGTGGGGTTTGTAAATTGCCCTTTTGCAGTGATTGAATGGAAATGAAATTTCGAAACCTTGCCCGCAACAAGCTTTTCTGACAGATGTGATCCAGACCTGAGACTCAGAGAGAGAAAACCTTTACCAGTGATCTTTGACATTCTCGAAGGGCAGGCATGTACCAGCACAGCTACATTCTTCAGCGAATGATGTCTGAATTATTTGTATTTCTTGTTTAAAGCCTTCAAGAGGTGTTTGTGTTTTAGTTTTCATTCAGTGATTGAGTAATGACACCGCTTTCTCCACTAACAACTGCAAGGCAACTATTGTAAATATTTATCTTCTAACAGTACAATATGTTTATTATACTTGCATCTAAATAATAAAAAGATTTATACTCAACTTTTGAGTTTGCAGTCTTCATCTACACACACAATTCACTCTACAAAAGTCATTTTTAACCATTAAAATGGCTGAAGTGGTGATGCATTAAGTATACCTCAAAGATATTTTTATAATCTTTTCATTTGCAATATTACACATGCAATTTCAATGCTTCCTAAAATTAAGATGTTAAAACATTTTTACAAAAGCTTTCTATTTCAAATATATGCTGTTTTTATACTTCCACAAAAATATTAAGCAGCACATCCGTTTTCAATATTGATAATAGTAAACACTGAATACTGGAGTAATTGCTGCTGAAAATCAATGAAAATTGATGCTTTGTAGTCACAGGAATAAATGATTGAAAATGGTTATTTTAAATTGTAATACTATTTTACAGTATTGTTGTTTTTACTGTATGTGATCACATAAATGTAGCCTTGATGAGCATAAGAGACGTCTTTCAAAAACATAACAAATTTGACCGACCCCGAACTTTTGAATGGTAGTGTGTACCTAACAATTGTTATAGGTAAATCATTTAGGGCATATTCTTTGCTTTGTGTTCAAATTATGTTGACATAAAAATACCTCCATACTGAAACTATTGAAAACAATAGTAAGCAAAATGTTTTAAATGAGATGTTGACCCTTTACTCCCACAAGAGGGAAACCTCAGTGCACTGGGGAAGCGGTAAGGGTTCATACTGACACAAAGACCATACACACACACACACACACACACACATATATATATATATATATATTTGAACCACAAAACCAGTCATAAGGGTAATTTTTCTTTTTTTTAAATTGAGATTTATACATCTGAAAGCTGAATAAATAAGCTTTCCGTTGATGTATGGTTTGCTAGGATAGGACCATATTTGGCCGAGATACAACTATTTGAGAATCTGGAATCTGAGCGTGCAAAAACAAATCGCCTTCAAAGTTGTCCAAATGAAGTCCTTAGCAATGCATATTACTAATGATAATACATTTTTTATATATTTACGGTAGGAAATTTACAAAATATATTCATGTTACATGATCTTTACTTAATATCCTAATGATTTTTGGCATTAAAGA